TATACATATATAGTTATATATATAAAAGAATACAATATAATGTTAGTCCTTTCCAGATTGTTGTTGTTGTTGTAATTCTTGCTATGGCAGCTGCAGTCTTAACACTTCATGGGCCGGCACTGGCTCAAATATATTTCGCCCATTGTTGCCAATTATAATTTTGACAAAAACATTACTGCAAATGAGAGGGAGAGAGGACAAAATGGATTAGTTTTGATTGTTTGTTGTGCAGTGTTCAGTGCTCGTAACAAGTGCCGCTTACCATTTAATACTTTCTTAATTTTGCTAAATACATTGTCCTATTTGGGTCTATTCCAGTACAAGTTCTGGAACATCTGGAGCATCGTTTACATCATTGGCTAACATTAGGTTATTTCTGCGACGAGAAAATGTTGAAGATGAGTTGTAAAATTAAAATTGCTATAAGCAAAGCAAATGGCGACAAAATAAACTGCTACACACAGGCTCGAACCCGTTGAAGCTAATTCACAAAATGAATATGGACCCCAAATAGTCATCCGAGCTGACAGTTTAAACTGACAGTTTAGGCTGAATTTATGATTAAAATGTTGTTTGCTTTATATGCAAATGTTGTTTATCAATTGATAGCTTCATTCTTTCTATTTAACCTGATGTATGAAATGTAAACTAAAAAATCAAGTTTTTGGTCAAATTATTATTCTTATTATTCAAAAAAAAAAAAAAAAACAAGAAGTTGCGAAAATTTAAATAATATTTTCAGCAGAATTTATAATTCAGCGGTAGAGCTGACATTGTGTCAAACTCGTAGCTGTTAAATATGTTTTAATAATCCATAACTATTATTTAGAGATTTGCACATAAAATTTGAATTGATTTTAATATAATAGAAATCTGGTTTCATGCATTTACTTAAAGCTCAATGAATCAGCTTTGTATCTAGCGTACTTGTTACGAGCTGTCACGCCATATAGATATACTAATATATATATGTATACATATGTATATAAATAACTTACACAGTGCGCCGCAAGTGATCGAGCTCGTCCTTAAGCATGGCATTCTTCTCGCCCAGCTTTGTGTGCAGCTTGACGCTACGCTCATTGCTCTCCTCCAGCAGCTTGATGACGTGCTCCTGGCTATGTAGCTTTGTCTGCTTGGCGGTTAGTTTGGAGCAGAGATTTTGGAATTGTTCATTTGTTGCTGCTAGCTCGTTGGTCATCTGTGTGTGTAAAGGGGAGAATGTTTATAAAGTGATTTCAATTCGAATCCCTGTTGGTTATTTGCCTGTGTAATGAGCGTATTTTTATCACTGGTTTGAGCCATAATTTCATTTAATTTGCGATTGCTCTCCAGTTCGCGTTGCTTCATTTCCTGATCCAGATAATTGATGCGCTCACCGCGCACGGCCAGCACCTGGCGATGGTGTTCGTTCTGCTCCTCTAGCCGGCTGACTTTAAGCTCCACCTTGTTTAGCTCCTCCTGTTTCTGTTCCAATTGCAGGCGCAGCGCTTGCTCCCTCTGCTCCTGCTCGGCTAGACGCATCTGTTGACGCTCCAGCTCGGCCTGCAGATCACTATCACAGAAAAAGAGATGTTTTACTGTATTTAAAGCACATCGCACAATTTCCGTTTACCATAAATGTTCCGCATCCGGTTCGGGCTCGTTACTCGTTGACTCCGACTGCAGCGTCTTGGTGAGCTCCTGGTCTTGCAGCTGTGCTCTCTGCTCGGCCATGATGGTTTCCTTCTCGGCCAGATCTTCCATCAGCTCATCCATTTTCTTTTGGAGTATTAAGCATTCGCTCTGCGCCTGCAACACTTGACTCTCCAAATCCTCAATGCGGGACAAGAGCTTCTCATTCGATAGCCGAAAGCCGTCTATGGTGGTGTCGCTCTCTCTTTGGCGCTGCTGCAATATCTTATTGCTGTGGGTATTATTGATTGTAAGTTTTGAATTCGAGATTTCAATGGTCATGTCTCACGTTTTCTTCAGATTTTTAATCTCGGCAATCATGTCCTCCAGAACACCTGCTTTCTTCACCAGCAATATATTCTTATCGGCCAGCTCTAGAGCGAGATCGTCGCAGCGCTTCTGCGATATATCAAGCGATGTTTTGAGCTCGTCTCGCTGCTTGCGTATGTCCACCACATCCATCTCCAGTTTCGAATTGGCTGACACTAGCTCACTGTTCTCTTCAGTTAGCTCGCATATCTGTGCCCTTAGCTTTGCGGATTCGTCGTTGCCAGCAGCTTTACACATTTCCATCAGCTCATTGTCGACGACAGCCAGCTTGTTGCTCTGCAGAGTTATGTAAGCTTACATTCATTTGATACAGCTCTATCTCCAGTAGCTGTTACTTACCAGGTGGCCATCTAGCTGCCGGCGTAGCTCTTCTTGACGCAGTGTCTGCAGGCTGTTGTCCTTCGACTGCACCGACGCGATCTGCTCGAAAATGAACCAGACGCCCTCCCTGAGTGTATTATGGCACAGGTTTCTGAAATCATTCAGCGAATGAGCAGCTGAGAAAGGATTCAAGTTAATATAAGCTTAGCGAATTGTGCGAGTGAATGCCAATTGAAGCTCACGCAGATTTTTGGGCATGGCAAGCAAGTCATCACGGTGCACGAGCACCTTGCAATTATCGTTGTGCACGATGGCGACCAGCTTGTAGGAGTAGCCATGGCGTTTTCCACGAAAGTCCGCCGCCTTTCGCATAAACTCAGACTGCATGTCCTCTAATCCTCTCTGGAGCATCTCCAGGGCCTGTGGACAGGGCAATGGCTCAACTCCATCTTCCTGCATGCGCACGCATATCGATGTTTGACTGGAAGTTTGATCACCTTTCTTTTTGGCCTGCGATGCGGGCGTTTCC